CTATCCACTCTCATTAGTTCTTGTTGTCTGATTCCATTTTTATAAGCATTTATAGTCAGAATTACTTATGCTTACTTTAGAAGTGGTGTTTTCTCTCTTTTGGGAGAGGTTGCTTCACAACTGTTTTATGGGGATAGGTTCCTGCCTCTTCCTTGGGAACACATAGTGTTGGTCACTCCATTTGACATCATACTGAACTTCGTGGACCCTTTGGTCTGTGATGGTATTTCCAGTGAGAACTTGAACCCCAAAGCACAAGCCTATTGGTCTAGTAAAGTAATCTTTGCTGATATTCTTGGTTCACACACTCAGAAATTTATGTTCATAAATATGATAGACATAGACTGCCATGACTGGACTTTGTCTTTTTTTCTTGTTCTTAGGTAGCTTTTTGCCATTATTCACAGCTGGGCAGACTTGTGAATTCTGTGAATTTCCTTTACTGAATCTGGCACAAAAATGTCCCTGTAAAAACGTGGTTTATTTCTTATGCAGAAAGAATGGATTAAAGCCCTGAGAAAAAGTACTATCAGAGGAAAACAGCCATAGCTCAATACATTTGTTGACAATTTCACTGTTTTGTTTAAAAAATTGCCAGGATTTGTTCCTACATCATATCATGATTTTTTACAGGCACAGTACCTCATGAGAAGAATAGTGCTTTTGTTCCTCCAAACTGGTATTTTTTAATTATCAGCATAAATGAAAGCAAGATGGTAACAAACTTTTCCCAGACACAAGAATGGAGAGAACAAATATAAAGTATGCCAGTATTCAGATAAAGGAATATTATGCAGTATTCAGGAACTTTTCTGCAGTGATGCACTTGTGTTCTTCCAAAAAAATGTTTATAATGAATTATTTTAACATATGTTAAAAGAATAGAAGGTCCTTTGCATATTGTGTGTTTAATTCCAAACTACTGAAGAGGGGAGTAATTAAAATAATGTACGTCTCCAAAGAACTATGGACTTGACATTTTATTCCTAACTGGATTTCTCTTATGACTGACTATTACTAGCAGCAAGGCAGCAGTTGCTACCAGATTTTGGAGTGCTTGCTTTGCCAAGTTTGTAGTGTATAAATACTTTGTAAGTGATTTTAACCATCTCTAATGTAGTATTGTGGAGGTCCCATTCCTTCCTGTTGTAAGCAACTGTTCTGTTGATATCATTGACTCCTTGGCCTGAATTTTAAGCCTGAATGACTGAAACTAGACTTAGTAAAATGAAACACTCTAGAAAGCCTAAGTATAGAACCACTTCTACCTGGATTATTGCCCAACTCTTACGGCTTGAAAACAAAAGCCAAATATGTTTGTCAAAGTTTGCCTGTCACTGTCTTGGCATGAAAATTACAATTTGAAGTGATTTCTTCCAAGTCTGAGGCTTAGAGTTTTCTGTCTCCTTTCATTCCCCATTAAATACTGGACACCAGAAAGGCTTGGCCTAGATTCTTAGCAAGTTTTCCTTTCACTCAATGTAAGTGGTGAGAATCAGCATATTTCTGTTGAGTGCAGAGGTGCCTTTCTTGAAGCATTAGATGAAGTATCACATCACAGTACTCCCACCTCTTCCTCCAGTTTATTCCTGTGCTAGTGGAAATAGAGACAGTCAGCTCCAACAGCTGCATGGTTTTATGAAATAATCTACTCTGAATTCATGGTCAGGCCAAGTTTCAGTGAAGAAATCATGTCCTGAAGAGAAGTGTCTGTTTCTCTTAAGGGTAATCACACCAGCTTTCTGCTTGGGGCCTGTTTTGGAAGTACCTCTTTTCAGTCATTCTCCAGATGCAAATTACATGTTCAGTGTTTTTGGTCTCCCTGCTTCCAGTTCAGCCTGCCCACCAGAAGGCAGAGTTTGCATATATTCTTGGTGTAAATGTACAACCTAGAGAACCAAGTTCAAGATGTACTCACTTCCCATGTAGTCTTGAGGCTGAAGACTTAAGTGCTTGAGCACATTTAGCATCCTTAACAAGTTTTCTATAAGCTGCAGTGCATCCCAGTAACACAAAGCAGCAAGTTCTTGTTGCACTAGTTATTGTGGTTGAAAACATGGCCCCAAATGCTCCAGACTGGATGGTCTCCCATATGCCTTGGTAGTACTGAGGAGAATAATGGAGCTTATTTTCATCTCCACTGCCAAAATCACTCCCTTTCTATATTTTTACAGTGGGCACCAGTGCTATTGCTGTTTTCAATCCCTGTTTTAATAATGCTAATTATCATACCTTGTTGTGTTAATGCAGACTCTGGGCTTCCGTAGGTACCCCCACTGAAGTTTGAGTGGCATAGTTTGATTTCCCTTGGGTATAGAAGTAGCTGTTATATTTCCTTGTTTCTCTATATAACTGATCAAAATTCAAAATCTGAAATCTGCCATATTAAATCCATTGCCCCAAAATTAATTGTTTCTGTTATTGCTAATATCTTGCACCACTGGATGGGAGTACAAACCTTAAGCAAGCAAGCATTCTCATAGATTTTGGAAACCAGTGTCTTCATGATGCTGTTACTTAAGAATGGTTACCCATCCACAGGTATTACTGAGGAAGGATCGATTAGCTATCCAGTTGATAATTTAGGATTTCTGGTTGTAAGGAATAGACTGACCTGACACAAACTATTCCATCAGGAACTGTAATTCTTCTCTGGCAAAGATTTGTTGATTAAGAAGTGACTGATAGCTACCTGCCAGAAAGAATCAGGTGTGAATCCTACACAAACACTTGGGTCAAGTTCAGCAGTCATTCAAGCAGTAGAGAAATATGGTATAAGGACACCCAATATTCTTAAAGGAATCTTCAGCCTTTACTTGAAGGGGTTTTCAGAGTGAATATAACCAGTCAAGACCCTTACTTGAACTATCACTTAACATACTGCATTCAAAAATGGTGTAACATTTTGTAAACCCACTGTACCGATGCAAATTTAATCTTACAACATCACTTCTAATTCCTGACCTTGTTGCACATAATATGAAACTTTATAATCAGAAGATTCAGTTGTCCCTGTTGTAAGAAAGACCATGGGCATGAGTTAGGTTATTTGATATACGAGAAGATAAACCCTGTTTTTTGAATTGGGCTGCCTTTGTTAGGTTGGATCTGAATACACTAAAACTTTGCATAAGTTTGGGTCCACACCTGAGCTGTAGAGCTGTACAGCTGGATTTGATGAGCTAATCCAAATACTGGATAAGTGAACATAATGCCCCTTGTGATTCCCTGTTTTTACAGCTGGGAAAGCAGATGTTACAGATTGTGTTACTTGAGTGGTTATCTTCTCATTTTTGCAATATAATCTAGCTGTTAATAAGTAGAGGGCCTAGAGACTTAATTACGGCCCCAAAATTCAGGGATCAAAGCATAATGAAATGTCAAATTCTCTTTTTATTCTTACCTTGTGAAAACTGAACCTTGAATCTATTTCATGGTGAGGAAAGGACCCTAATGTTTCAAGTTTCAGTATACAGACAGAGTCACAAATTGAGCTGTTGCCCAGATCAGTGGAATGAAATCAAAACACTGTGAATAGCTTCTACCAAAACCTCACCCGCTACAGACTCAAAATCATACCCCAAGCCTGATGTGATAACAGAAAATGCATAAAACCACTTTAAATCATAAAGGAGCAAAACAAGAATATAGGGATTGCATATTGCTTTACAACACCTTAAGCACAAGAAAATTATAAAAACAACCCTTTTTAAAAATACTGTTTGAATGAAAGTTCTTCAGTAGTGTGGCTCTTTGTCTGAAGATGCTGAATGTGAATGTCTTATACTTCCCTTTCAATACAGGTCCTTTCACTGACTACATCCATAAGCAGCCTTTTGCTATAAAAGATCTGTCTTTACATTTGCATTATGAACACAACATATATGGTCTTTGTAAGGGCAATAGATCTCCTAGCTGTCATTATTCGTCACTGTAGTGAGTTTCTTTGAACTCAGCCCCCCCTTATTGTTTTCAAAGCACTGAGTTTAGTTTACTCAAACCCCTGCCAACAGTTTGCGTATCACTACTGATCTTTCCCTGTGCTGTCTTCAGAGGAGAAATAGCAGCCACAAATGTTTTAGAGCTATAAACACAGACCTCAAGATCCCTACTGTAGTCAGGAATGGTTTAACACACACTAGGTTATTTATGGTAACAGTGGTGTCCCTTTGTTTCTACAGGATTGGATTCGCTGCTCAGCAGGTGTGCGTCCTGATATCCTTCTATTCCCAACACAGAAATATTAATTGATTATTCAGATTAATTCGACAGCTGATTCAATTAGCCTGATGCCTATCCTCCTTTCTTCATCCTAATTAAATATCATTTTCCCCTGGAGGTCCATAATGCAATTATTTATACACAGATTGATATCTTTGTTTTATAGTTCACTTGTTAATCTATATACCTTTTTGGTTTTGATTCCAAGTGCTTGATTTGAGTGTGCCTTTGACTGTCTCAGACCATATTGCAGAATTCTCTTTTGCTTAAAAATTAGAAAAAGCTTGTCTTTCTACAACTGTGGTGCTTTCCTCCTGCTCACTGCTTCATCTCACTTCATTGAAGCAGCTGAGCAAACAGGTCTGCTCCAAGATATTTTGCAAGTAGAGAAACAGGCCAAGCCAGGTGAACAAGTGATTATTTTAAAGCCTTAAAGTCAACTCAGGTTGGCATGCGGTCATCTTTGTCAGAATATTGCTGTGTTCCCTTGCCCTGGCAAAGCTGGTGCAAGCAAAAGTGGTACATCAGGGAATATTTGTGTCTTCGGTCCAAGTCGATTTTACTCAGTGGCAAATATTACATTTGTTTAGGAGAAGCCAAACCTCGCAGAGGCAAGAGTCTTAATCATACAGGAATACAGATCAACATTACAGCTGCATTTTAACCTTAGTCTTCTGATGCTTATTCTAGAGGCAGGGTGCTAAGCTATTTTACCTTCCAGAGGAAACATTCTTAGATATAGAATTCTGAATAAATAGCAAAATGAAGTCAACACTTACTCATAAAATTCAGCTGCAGGAGTGAGCTTGTACTTCGAGTATTTGGTACCATTGCCAAGCACTGATGCATTGAAGAGTTTGGGATCTGTACAGTTTGGACTGTTCCAACTGTTGTCGCAGTTTGTCCAGGGGAGCTCAAATGTGAATGATGAAAATAGATAATACAGAGACCAAGCTATGATAACGTTGTAGTAGAAACCCACGTAAAGAGCTATGAGTATCACTGCATAGCCTACACCTAAAGACAAAGGAAAACTAGATTATACATTGCATTTTACATGCAACAGTATATGCAAACACTGTAGTTAAACTCAACCATACATAACTGCAAATTCATTTTAGGTCTTCAGACCAATAAAAGGAAATTTTGATGTTTATATACACACATGCGGACACACTGCCACTGATCTTAAAACAAAAGATTACATTAATGATTTTGGAAAATGACTGGCTTTTAGCAAATCCAGTTGTTTGCCAGAGAAAGAAATTAAGCAGTACAAAGTCAAAATTTGCTCTTGTACAACTCCATTGCTGATTTGCTTCCAATGCAAAAGATTGCAAGCCCATGTTAGGAGTGAAACTCACTTCATCTTCATAATGTCAGAGTCCTTGGCAACTTTTCTTGGAAAAGTGAAGCTCGAGACTTAAGTGAAGTTTTCCTATGCCTCATGTTCCCACCCTGAGCTAGTTTGGAACAGACACTGAACCTTCCCCTGTTTCTTTCCCATTGTTACTCTCCCGATTGGCTTCCGTCAGTGTGTAGTTAGGTCCAAAACATTCATGAAACAGTCTGTGCTGTTCCACTGAGGGGTTCCAAGTGATTTTTGGGCATGCCAGTAAATCTTGGTGAATATCAAGCTTGGGGCTAAACTGTGCGTGGACCTTCAAACTATTTTATTATCTCCCCAGGATTACAGAATCCTCACTGTAAGAATTCTTTTTTGACTTTGAACATTTGTTTTGTATTTATGCATACTGTGAAGTGTGCTTGGAGGGTCCCTTTAGTGAGTGAGCCCGTGAGAGTGCATGTTCTTCACATGAAAATGGACATCTTCCAATGGTTTGGGAGGAAGCTTTGGTACTAATGTCAGAGCAGAGCAAAAGTTTGTTGCCAGAACTGTTCAAGAAGCTTGCTTTATCTTGGCTGATATCATCTTTCCTTTACTCTGTGCGCAGGTTTGTTCTCTGAATCCTACCCCAGAGCTGTATGTATTGCATATAACGGGCAGAGACAACAGCTGTTTTATGACTATCATCACTGTGCTACCACAGCACCTAAGTATAAACCTTTACTTCTAATTTTCTTCAGTTTAGTTATTTTATTTGGAGATACTGCATTGGAAGCCTAGCAGTTGGAGATTATTAGGCTTTCATATTTCTTGATAAAGTAAGGAAGTAGCACACACTTTGAGTGTTAAATCCTTGGTTTAAAATTTGCATAAGGAACAGATGCTGACCCTGAAGGAGTTGGCAGTTCAATGACTGCTGCATATACCAAATTACTCTTTGCTCTTCAGGAGGCTTTTAATACACAGACCAGTTTGCTCATCCTTAATGTTGGGGAAAAGATTGTGAAAGTAAAGATGAAACTGTATCTTCAAATTCTTGGTGCTTAAATGAATCCAGTATATTAACACTCAAACTCTAGTGATACGTTATGATCAATAGAATGGAGCAGAAGGGGGAATCACCTAAGGGGATAATTCTTAAATATTCATGTGAATGTTAAAATACTAAGTACAAATAATATATGTTGCATGATTTCTGTTTTAAAAAAGTGTTCCTGAAATTCCTCCAATTCAGTTGGGCAATGATACATATTTAAGATCAAGATTAAAAAGTACTAGATCAAATGTATCTTAAATGTCAATCCTCTGAAATCATAAGACTGTTCAGGAATGAATTTGCTCTCCTGTTTCCAGGTCTCGCTTGTCTTAAAAGTAATGCTGCACCACCTACCCTCTAAAACAGATCCTGGAAAATGCAGAGATGAAAACAGACAGTGTTGCAAAGATTACAGGGTATATTTTGAATTTTATGTGTTATGAGAGGATCTCATTAGGAGTAGAGTCCTGAGAGTTCCTACCAATAATATATAAATAATATAAATAGCAAAATTAGTACTATAGTGCTGTTCATTTAGAGAAGGTGTTATTAATTTGTGTAGACTGCATACCTTTCATTTGAGTGAGAGATTTGAGTTATCTCAGAAACAGCTCAAAAACATTAGCAGTAAAATGTGTTTGTATGTTATCAGAAGATTTGGCCAAAACTTCAAAAGTACTGAGTTTATGTTTGTGCTGAGGTGCAGATACAACTCAACTCTTATTCCTTTTTGAGAATCAAATCACTTATGCTATCCTATATCCTAGTAATAAGAACACTTAAAAATCAACAGTAATGTATGTTTAGTCCACCTTGAAAATGTCAGCTTAAAAACACAGCTGGAATGTCAACAAGACTATACATGAAATAAGTTTTATTTTCCTTTCTCATCATCTTTTCAATCCTGAAGTCAACAGATGGAGTACCTCTGAGCACAGTGGTATTTGGCTCAAACACTTTGAGATCTGTACGGTCTAATTTTTGCAGTTAGGTTTTCAAAATCCTCGTTGCCATCCAAAGGTATTAACTGATACCAGCAGGAATTTTGATTGAGCAAGGGTCTTCAGGCTCCTGGGTGCTCGAATGAATTTTGTCTCCCGTGAAGGGATTATAGAAAGGCTAGGTAAATCTATATGAATTAATTTTAAAATTTTGAAGCACTTATTTTATTAGCTTGCCTATTTATTTTTTATTATATCTCTAATTTTGCTGTGAGTTTTGGGTTTGATAAAAAAAACTCTGCAGTTTTCCTACTCTGCAGCACTAGACTCCTTGAAGAAGAAAGCTGTATTTTGAGAAAGAAGACTAACATTTACTCAGTGTAACCTATATCCAAGCACCGGATCCACCAAGTTTGGATTGTTATTGTTAAGCTCCTCAGCTTTTGTCAGTCACGGGATGAACATGATCTGAATTTTAAGCTTCTAAGATCAGCTGAGCTTGACTGGTTTCATTTCAGATAGCTCTGTGTTGAAAAGGCTTTTACATAAGATTTTTAGATACAATCTGGTATAGTTATAAGGGAACTTAGAATTTTTGCTGGTAGGAATTAAATAAGAAAATTCTTGAGGCTCCTTAACAAATATTTGTTCCGTGTACAGAAAGCATATGGCTTCTTTCACCCAGGGAGATCCCTTTATCCCTCATCAATGCCAAACACTCTGATCAGTATCCCGACACCTAATCGCGGCTATTTGTTCCTCGCAGAATGATTGCAACTCAGTGCACAAGACAACACTCCACACCCTTTTATTTGGTGACGCTGGAGAGTTAACCCTAGTGCAAAACACTTGAAAGTAATAATAATGTTCAGGTTTTAATAAGTGCTTTTCATTGCTAGATTTGAAAACCACTTTACAAAGTCTGTCAGAATCATTGCTCCCATTTCATAGGCAGGAAAACTGAGCTACAGAGCCACAGATAACTTGTGTGATGTTACAAGTATAATGGATGGAAGTGAAGTGAACAGAGCCAGTGGTTATCTTAGTCACTGTGGGAGACAGGGCTGAACTGCCCTGTATGGGATGAGGTATTTCCAAATGTTTGCACTGCCAACTCCTCCCTCCACCTAGAGATACCCAGTTCCTCCCACTCCCCAGGAAGGGGGGGGAAAGGGAGCACAGGGCTGAACTGCTCCTCCTCATTGCTCTCTGCACTCCTCTGCAATCATCCTGAAGATGATTTCTTTGGCTTTTCCTATTTTGTGCTCCACCTGTGATAACAAAAAGATTTCTGACTTCAAGGGTTGGGGAAAGGTCAGCAAATATCATGCTGTCTGTGGAAAGATGAGAGACCTTTACTTTGTGCTCACAAGTGTGTGGCACCCTCACAGTGCTATTCAAGTGAGCAGAGGGACACTTACCTTTGAAAACTGGACAGATTTTCCACACAGTGGCAGCCCCCTCTCGGTTATATTGTCCCAATGCCAATTCCATATAGAACAGGGGCATTCCAGCAATGATTAAGAAGAGGATGTAGGGAATAAGAAAAGCACCTGGAAAGAGAATAATTAGTCATTGTAGTCTATGTTATGGCTACATTTTGATTTCTCTGCTGCTTACTTTTATTGTCTAGAGACAAAGCCACTGCCTTTGGGAAGTAGAAAGGAAATACCATATTCTCTTGTCCCTTCCCTGTATTTTTTTTAGTGTCTCAGACATAGAACCCCTGGAAAAAGATGTAAAAGATGAAAAAGATGCCCTTATTTCCCCCTAATGTTTCCCCTCTGCTTTTTGGCTTCATTGGGAAAAAAAATGGGTCCCTTAAAATTAATCCCTAACTGAAGATGATGCTGAATGCACTTGCAGAGCTAAAAAGGAAGGGGACTATGAAAATTTTTAAGTTTTTTTTTTTTAGTGTAATATGTTCAAAAGGGAGCATGAAGGCCAGTAACAGAGGAAAAAAAGTGTTGTCTGAGTTCCTGTGCAGTTTAAGTCCTATTGTGTATGGTGTCCACATGACTTGAAAATGAATCACTACTGGTCAGTCATATGGAATTTGGGCTTCTATAGCTAATTTTGGGGTTTGCTATAATAAATTCAATTATTCTTATGAAGTGTGTTAGACAATGCACCCCTTTCCAACCTAGTGATACTTATTGCCACTGATGTGGAGTATGTACTAGGTTTTGCTGATAGGCCCGAGTACAGCATCTTTATATTGCAGCAAGACAGTGCTGGGGCTGCTCACGCCTTCCTGGAGTACGTAACTTCACTTGAATGAGGATTCTTCTGGGAGTTCATTCCACAGAAACTGTCACCTGTGGAAGATCCTGATGTGTCAGTGTTACTACCATAAAAAGTATTGCCAACTAAAATACAAAAGGATCATCTAATGTAGAAACTATTTGAAAATTGCTTAGCTATTTTATATGATTCAGGTCACCGAAAGAAGTCTCTACACAGGATACTATAAAACAATTACAATTGCTGTCATGTTTAGTTACTGGATGCTCTGTTAGTCCTCTGCTTTGTGGCACCTGTAAAGTGTAGCTTCTACTTTATAGCATAGCTTACTTGGTCCAGAACAGTTCATCTAAAATTTGTGTGTATAAAAAATGATTAAATTGTTTTGATAAATAAGGAGCTGACAGAGTAGCTGCATATCCTGAATAACTGACTACTGTCCTCCTGAGGAGTTAAGTACAAAAAAGAAACTAGATTGTGAAAATCATGGTTAAATTGTTCTAGCAAAAGAAAAAAGAAAAACAGCAGCAGCTGTCTATTTCTCCCAATAGCAATGAGTAGGAACTTTTGCAAACCATTAAAGTCTGCTGTACTGCTTTAGTAATTTGAAAACTTCCCTTGCAAAAGGAAGTAAGTTTGCATTGCTTCTAGATATATAAACCTACAGAATGTATGTGTAGTCTATAAAAGTAAAAAAGCTAAAAGCATAACTCTGCCTGAAACATGCTAGTAGGCAGAATGAATTTCATATTTTAAAAGTACTTCTGAAACTACTTTTATGCTTTTAAAAGTCTGAGTGGTTGTTGTTCCTTTACCTTTCACGTTAGCTTTTCACAGATATTACTAGTGTAAGCTGCCTAGCATGTTCAGAGAGGTAAATTTGAGTATATGCTGGAGAATAAGAAATGGAAAAACAGACTGTACTCTTAGTCATACCACAAATCTACTTCTAAAAGTAACGTTCTGTAACATAACGGTAAGGACAATGTATCCAGCATTCAGTCATAAGTTTAGGCATTTGAAAGTTGAAATCTTTCAATGAAACAGAGACAAGGTATATCAACAGAAATAAAGAATAGCCTAAAGCTTTGAGAATGTATCCTAAAAGCTGCAATATATTGGTTGTGTCACTCTGGGAGCAAGAATCTTCTTATCCATGATGTTTATATGGAGTGTAGTGTGAATGCGATATGCATTCATGTAAGCTACTACAGTATCAGTGATAGATGTTTTAATAATATTTCAGTGTTGTTCATAAGCTGCTTTCTATGATTGTCAAGTTGAACTGTCATATGTTTGAATATTGTGGAGAGAAAAGGTATTTGTATTCAACAAATACTTGATACCATGCAGTTCTGAGCTCTGTTCAGTGTTGAAACATACTTAGCTAAATCAATCTGGGTTACTACATATTGCTTTCACTATATCTAGCATCTATAAAAATTATTTTAAGTGGTTTTACTGTCAGATTTCTTTTAAGTGACAGACTTTGAAGTGCTGTACTTGTCTTGCTTCGATAGTATTACACCGTGTGGAGCTGACTCACAAACCTAGCTTGTATTTGGGAGGACTGGAGTTTGCAGAGAGTGCTGTTTGATTAACTTGAATGTCAAGAGACTGTGGAAAACATGATGCCACAAATTGAATAGGGAAATCTGTGTTTGAGAAAATTAATGCTGGAGATGTGTAGTGGACATACATATTAAATGCTAGTTTAAAATACGTGGGTTTTAAGTATGACTAATACTATGATGAACTGTGAAGTGTACTGTACTTACGCATACTTGTTTAAGCATCATCTCTTTGGCTGAGTGTCATTCCAGGCTCTAGTTAAAGGAGGTTTCTTTCTTTTTTTTCCTTCCCCCGCCCTGCCCCCGCAAGGGATTAATAAGTTGTGGTGTAATTTTCAGAAAAGAGCAGTTACACAGTATGGCAGGGTTTCATAGCTGGGTTACTTTTCAGGTAACTAAATGATTGAAGTATTTTGAAATTGAGATAAGTATCAAAGTAAGGGTGCTTAGTCACATTAAGTCAATTTAATGTTTTGGAGAACTTCTGGAATCTTCATGTTTAACAGATTCTGATTAGGATTAGGTGAAAAATACCAAGAAGTAAGGTATTTTGTAAATATCTTGGTATTTGCTCTTCTCTTCCTAGCCAATATCCAAAATCAAACAAAAACAAAAGGTCTTGTTTGGAAGGAGACTTCATACCATCCTGCATGTGTGAACATCCTGTGGGCCATGGAGGAGGCAAACCAGCATCCTGGCGGGCCTCTTGCTTTAGGTCCCCTGGTGTGGATCTGAGCATCATACCAGACTTCTCTGAAGGATCAGCCTCACTGTTAATGCCTACATGGTCTATGAAGTCAAAATGTGTTAGGAAGAGTGACATGATGCCAGCTCTGTCACTCCCGCCTGTGCCACTAGCCACAGAAGCTCCTGTGCTTTAAGTGCATGAATCCAAGGGGCCAGTCAGATTTGAATAGCCCAGACAGTGAAACTCACTCTTAGGGAGCACACAGTTTGGCTAACACTTCAGACTAGCTTGCCAAGATCTACCTACCTCAGAGAGCTGAGGGAATGCAATCTGTGCGATTGCTGCATTGGCAGCAACATACTGAAAGTACTCGAGGGGATTCCACTCCCCCACTGTGTGATGGGATGGGGCTGAGCACACAGCTGCATCCCACAAGGCAGTCCTGGTTTCAGCAATCCCTAATGGTTCTCAATTTCCATTTACAGCTAAAGATCTGGAGTAATTAACATCTGTAGTACAGCCCTGGCATAAGAGCCATACTCGACTTGCTACTGAGTCACATGAAGCTCTAAAGCCACAGGTTGGCCTTGGACTGTTGCAAATTGCTACATCTCTCTGTTAACAGATTTCATGAGATCCATGTACATTCCCTAAGGTACCAGTGTATACATGGAATTAAGACAGCCTTGTGTCTTATGCAAAACTAGGTTAGGTCAAACCCTCAGCTTCTACAAGAACCATCTGTGTGAAATTTCAAGTGGAAACTTACCCAAGTTTGGTTTTGTTTTGTTTTTGGTTTTTTGTTTTGTTTTGTTTTTTTAAAAAAAAAAAATTGCATTTAATGAAGGACAAAATACAAGACAGACTTTGCATTCCTGTATTCAGTGCCAAACCAGCTTCTTAATTTTGGTATAACAGAATCCACACAAAGAGTGTCTCCTCCCTCTGTTCTTCAGCATTCACAGCATCCTGGAGGGTGGGAAGCAAAGAGGAATACAGCTCTAAATACTCCTCTCAATCCTACAAGGACGTCTCATCTCGCTTTTAAATACCAGAAAAAAAGAAGCATTAATCTACTAATGACTGAAAAAAGATCATTTAAACAGCTGCAGTTATCCTAAAAGCATTTGTTGATGCACGTACAAGAAGCAGGCCAGGCCAGGGGTAGTTGGAACAACTTTGAACTATTTGTGCTAGTTAGCCTTCTGCATTTGTTACCATGGTTATTTTAGTCAAAATGTTAACTGGTGGGGATGTCTGCTAAAACAACAAACTTTGAGCAAATATTGCAGTATATTTTCAGATAGGAGTGTTTCCAGTATTTACGCAGGAAAAGAGTCTAAAAACAAAGATCTCCCACTCAGTGAATTGAAATACAAGCTAATCTCTGTATCTGATCAACACTGCTTGTTTTTTTCATACAGAATAAATAGTACCCCAAACAATATCAACAAACAGTTGATAGAATGCAGTATGTTTGCTCGGACAATGAGGAAAAATGAGTGGAAACTAATCTGTGCAGGCTCTTGTGAATGAAGAAGGAAGTCCTTAATGCAGAGATCTTGAAATCTAGATTGTACGAGATCACCATAGGTAGGAAAACTAGGTAATCAGCAGGGCAGGCATTTCTTAGTACATGAACATTAGTGCTGGCTCTCCAGAAGGCTGGCTACCAGCTGGCTTGCACAGCCCCAAGGGCACCTCTGAAGGGCCAAAGCTTGAGCCTGCTGCTGGCTCTTGGGAAGAAGGGGTGCAAGGGTAGACCTTTACTGACCCGAGATTAAAAGCAATGAGGGTTTGTGTGGTACAGCAAAGAGAAGTCAAAGATACAAAGGATCATGATGTAACCTGTATCAAAACCAAAATGATGATTTTAACAGCAGCTGTATAATGGTGTTGAGCCCAGCCAGCAATAGATTATAGTAGTCAAAAATAACATTTTTCTGCAAAACAGATCGCATGACATACTATAAAAACTTCAGCAGCACTTTGCACATATAAAATCCTCCAAGTATGCAATACAATCTTCCAAGTATGCAACATTTTTCAT